TTAAAAGTTAATGAACTTGAACAAGTTAAAATGCTTTTCAAGAAAACCTTAGAAATTAAAGAAGACTCGTTCCGACACATGTCAATTGATAATCGACGTAAATTGCAAATGATCATGTTTAAATTCAATATAGTTTTATATTGCCTTATGATTTAACTGTTTTAAAAGTTAATGAGCTTGAACAAGTAAAATGCTTTTTCAAGAAAACCTTAGAAATTAAAGACTTTGCTACATGGATTAACAAAAAAAAAAATCCGACACCTAATTTAAATTTTAATACGTAAGTTCAAATTATTGAAAGAATTTATTCTAAGATTTATTAAAATTTAGATCAGATCCAATAAATCTTTATTGGAGACAACTTCCATTTTCTACAACACAGCAATAAATAGATTTGAATTACTTTTAAGGTGCTTTTAATTAAAAAACAAATTAAGCAATATGATTACCTTCTTTTCTAAATATTTCGAATTCCATTCATCTGCCTTCGCCTTATTTTTAGTAATGCCTAGGCCGAATTCATAGCAAATTCCGACGGCATTAATTCCTTTAGAATAATTCAATTCAGCAGACTTCATGTACCATTCAAAAGCTCTTTCATAATTTTTGTCAGTACCAGTACCGCTCGCATAACAATTAGCTAATTCATATATAGCATTAGCATTTCCATTATCAGCAGGTTTAAAGTATAAATCAAAAGCTTTATTTTTATCCATAACAACTCCGGTACCATTTTTATAGCAGTTTGCTAATTCAAATTGAGCAAAAGAATTCCCATTTTCTGAAGATTCAAGATATAATTCAAAAGCTTTTTTCATATCTATATTTGTACCGATACCATTCATAAAACAATTAGCCAATTCATAAATTGCATCAGTATTTCCATTTTCAGCGGATTTTAAATATAATTGAAAAGCCTTTTTCTTATCAATAGTTGTACCAGTACCATTTATATAACATTTTGCAACTTCAATTTGAGCCTCGGAATTTCCATTTTCAGCAGATTTCGAGAACCATTCAAAGGATTTTATTTCATCCTTTTCAATACCATAATCGTTACATAAATAACAAGAACCAACATAATATTGTCCTATGATAGAACCAATTTCTGCAGATTCTAAAAATAATTTAAAAGCTAAATGTTTATCCATATTAACACCTTTTCCAGTTGAATATAATAATCCAAGAGAAATTTTTCCAATGATATAATTGTTAAGAGTCAAATAACCAATTAAAGACGAATCATCTAAATTAACAGCACTTTCTGAAGATAATTTATACATCCAGAAAGCTTTTTGGTAATCAACATCAGTACCGATTCCATGCTCATGAAAATAACCGATCATACTAAAGTTATAATCTTGATAAGCAAGTTGATTAAATATTAAAAAAGGATCTAATTGATTGGCTTCAAAATAATTAATTATATTATTAGTTATTTGAGTAGAATTGGTGGTTTCATTAAATTGAGTTATAAAGAATTGAAGTAATTTTCCTATAACTAAATGCCAATCGTCAGATTTATTAATTGAATCTTGATCAGATTGATCTTTGTTTTGTTCTTTATGAATATAATCTAATTCTTCGATCATTATTTGGTTTATTTTATTTAGACGTGAAATAACTTGTCGAATATTTGGACGTTTATTTGCATGCTGATTCCAACAGTCTAATAAATTAATTTGAAATTATGTATATTAATGCAAATAAGAAAAATTATAGGTAGTTTAAATTGATTCAGGTAAATACCTTTGTAAATCAAGGAATATTCTCGAGGAGTTCCAGTAATTTCTGTTTCTCTCTTTCCGTTTATTATATCGTGTAAACAATTGTAACCAAATGGAGATTCAGACTCAAATGGAATAGTACCGCTAGAAATCTCCCATAAAAGTACACCAACACTGTATACATCAGAGCTTTGGTCTAAATCAAAGGTTTGTGGATTTTGCAAATATTGAGGATCAAAGTACTGAACAAAAGAAAGGAAATTTTGGCATTGATTTTGCTTCATAAAAATTTTGGATGAAAAACATATTTTAATGCTTCCTTGATGAACAAGAATATTTTCGGAATTCTATGAAAATTTTAAAATCATAAATACCGTAAATGAATAAATAAAAATAAATAAAGATAAAATGCTTAATTTAATAAGTATTAATTATCACCAAATGTCCATGTATAATATGATTGGAATGTAAATGATCAATCCCGTTTGCAATCTGCTTGGCAAGATGTAATTTATCTTTCCATCTTATCGACATAAAATTAAGTTCCAAATATTGACGAAGAGTTCCATCGTTGGCATAATCGAGAATCAACATATATGTGTTTGAATCTAATTAAATTATAATTAAAAATAAATAAGTTAAAATAAATAGTGATTACAAAATTTTCACAAAATGTCTACGTACGTACCCGGCTTAGTTAATCCATAAATTCTTAAAATGTTATCATGACGTTTAACATTTCGGTACCGGTCAATCTTTAACATTTACAATATTAGAAAAACATTCAACTTGATTTTATAATTATCTCACAATATAACTTACTTCTTTAACAAATTCTTTTAAGGAAAATTGTGGAGGTATAGTAATAGGTTTTAAGATTGCAGTTATATTATAACTCTTAAACGTTGCCTTATAAACCCGTTCAGACTCTCCGATAATTATGGATTCAACATTCTTAAAATTAGAATAACTGTGTATTACATCTTTGGTCTGATAAAATAATGCTTTTTTGGGTTTAGTAAACATGTTAGAATTTAACAAACGGAAGTTATTTGTAGATATTTGATCTTTATTGTACTGAATCGGTATGCAATGTTGTTTATAACAGTATTTTGCGTTACTATTTAAAGAGGTTTCAGTTTCACAAGTTTTACGGAACAATACTCCGAATCTATCGAATTACCAAAATAAAAAGTGCAGTACTCCGATTGGTCGATTAAAGTGAATTAATATCATAGACGAGGAAAGGCGGTATTAGTGTATATTAAAGCTTCAGAAGATCATTAGAAAATAACTATTTTGCGGGAACTAGTATAAGTGTAATTGAGAATTGTATAGAATTGTATAGTCGTTTATACTACAAACGGCAAATTGAGAAATCAAGCATTGCCCTCAACTAAGGGATCAAAGAGATTTAATAGCATTTAAAAACGTTAGTCTATCTAAGAGTAAGATTTGCGGATTTAATTACTTTGCATTGTTTGCCGAAATTATTTAAACATGTAGAAATATTTCGACTTTCAACATTTAACATGCCGAAATTTTAAAGTGATGCAAAAATTCTAAATGGTGTCTAAATGTTTAAATTATAGTGGATAATTAATATTTTACTAAGTACATAGTTATATGATATTTTAAGAGGTGTTAGTTTGCAGGACCTTTATTAGATAGCACATTGATTAGAATAAAAGTTCGAATTCTTTTTTTTTCACATATATTTTTTGATACCTAGCGCTAGTATGTTACAGAAAAATATTGAAAGAACAAAAAATTAAAAGAACAAAAAATTGATTATTAACATCCTCGTAGCATAAACTTTTCTCCAAATTATTTTGTTTTTTATTCCTATTCTATTAATTGCACCCTTTCACACTTTCACTTGACTCTTCACTATCGCACCACTTTTTAAGATATTCACGAGTTCGTATTATTATTTTGTTATTTATAAGAGAATGTTTAATTTTCAGATATTTAATATGCTTTATTACGTATTACATCAATACTATTAAATATTAAAAGACAATTTTTTAATAAATATATATTTAGATAATTAGTCATATAATACTAATGTTTAGAAATTTAGTGAAATTTAGAATTTTGGTATTTGGCCAAAAATAATGCTATATATAAATATATTTAGACAATCAAGTGTCTGATTATTTGACTGAATAGCGCATTTCGGCTAACAATACTAAATATGGTTGAAGGGACTAAAGAGCATAATCTGGTGTTCATTAGTATTTTTGATATTATAAAACGTAATAATGTTATATTTTTATTTTATGATAATACTGAATTATAGAGGACGATAGACAATTAACCCTATTTTTAATCATCAGAATTTAAAATAAACGTTTAATTTACATCTTATGAACGCCAAGTAAATAGTGATGATACTTCCAATAGTGACTCTTAGCTGATTATGACTGCAAAATTTAAATAAAAGTATAAATGTTCTCTAGGCTTTTTGGAAGAACAAGAGATAATCAATCTAATATCAATGTACATTTTTTTTAAATTTGATTGCAACAAATATTAGCAATAATAATATCCCAGCATATTAGAGATTACTTTCCTTCTTACTTTATTGTATTAATATAATTCAACACAATTTATCAATTCATATATTAGCTTCTAATTTTTATTATAACTTATTTGATGATAATACTGTACATGCATTGTACTAACTACCATTTCTTTTTATGAAATTTATAACTGATAAACTAATACATAAGGCGGCCATCTGATTTTTATGATATTCATGAATAATTTAATTGTACGGGTATTATCCAAAATCTGGATAACCAAAACCTGTGAATAGCATATAGATCAATTATATAGTACACAATCCGTGTTTCAATATATCCATGGAACGTTAAAGCACTCAAAAATGGCATCTAATAATAGGACTTCATTATAAAATCTGTCGTAATGAAGTCATAAAATCGAATGTGATGAGTTATTAAAACCAGGATAACTCAAGGTCACATGAATTATATTATTTTAAATGACTATAATATAAATTAATCATATCAATAGATAAAAAAATTATGATATAAATTAATCATATCAATAGATAAAAAAATTATAATATAAATTAATCATATCAATAGATAAAAAAATATAAAAATTTAATAACCTTTTGACTAGTTTCTAAGTCCTTTTCTGACCATTCCATGTAGTTATTTCGACCGTTAAAGTAGTAATTTAACTCATCTTATCCGGGTTTGTTTGTGACCGTCATGGTTGAGATTCCCACATTGAAATTGAAGTCTACCAAACCATTTTGTTTGTTACATTATTGTACTGCACATGATTCTTATGAACCGTTTTTGTAGGATATTTGTAAATTTCTTGTGAGAGTCGTAATAATGCTTTATCAACGAGCTTTTCAAACCATATTTCACTAACTGTTTTTTGCCTTTAATTAGGTTGAAGCCATTAGGCATATCATTATTAACTTCCCAACCTAAGCATTTCGTCAAATCAATAGGATGATTGAAGCTTAGTGTAGATAAGGTTTCATTAATGATAGTTCGATCGAACTATCATGGAAAGATGGAAGAAATTTTAAAATTTAAATAACAAATTAAATAACAAAGAAGAATGAGTACGAAACCTTCCTTTCCTTATATGTATTCGAGCACACTCTTTAGCTGCATATGTTGCCTTCCATAAAGGCTTTTTGATAGGTTAATTTTTTTGATTCTACTATTGAGCACTTTTCATTAAGAGAAACAGAATTTATTCACCAAATATACGTATTACATATTTTAAATATCACCATACAACTTGACTTAGAAATTTGGTTGGTGTAATTATTGCTGTATTGTTACTTTTCCATATTTGTATAGCGGTATTGTCGCATTTATCTAGATTGTCAGCCATCTTTATTTTCTTAACAAGCTGAGAAGTTTTATAATTCATATGTTTTCATTTTCAACTGTGGGAAATTAAAGGCTCTGTTAAATATACACAATACACCTCATTTTTCTCCTAATGGTTGCAGTTAGTAGATTTATCTTCATTATTTAATATTTTCAAAATGCTTAATTCTTTTTCTTACATGTTTATGACACTATACTTGATACGGAGTTCCCTAGCTCGTTTAATTGTTCATTATCATTGTTTTTCTTAGTCATTTGGTACTCTGTTTGATGCCGAATTGAATACATTTGGTTTTTTTAT